AACACTTGTCAGAATTTTTAGATTTGCTTCTCTCTCTTTTTATCCCTTCATTATCCGCAGATGGCACTGCCTGAAGGTGACTTTTCTGATTTGAAAGTGTCAAGTTGGAGGTTTAAAATGAATTCATCTACTTTCTGGGGAAATGTGCTATATTCGTGGTCACAGGACATTTTAATATCTTATTTATCTCCTTACCAAAGTGTGATCTCTTAATTTCATTTTCCTCTTAGATAATCAGCTGCATCTTCTAGCGTTTGTATATATTTCCACCTTGGAGTGTGCATCAGAAGCTGGCATTTACCAAACCCGGCTCTTTTTTTTTTTAATATGCCATCCAGTTTGCACAATCTTCCCTCTTCCTACAGTTTGTACTTTTCCTCTTCCCCATCCATCTCAATCTCTGATAAAGTATGTCCATGATTATGCACCAGGTGGTCACACTGTTTGTAGTGGGGGAGCAGGATTTTGAATACAAGCAGATTTACTCCAGAGGCCAAGTTCTGACCCAGCATTGCTAACCTTGTCACCATATGAAACTTACTTAAATTCCCTGGCCTCAGTCTTCTGGGCTGTCAGTTCAAGGTGAAATAACATCTACCTACCTACCTACCTCATGGAGTTGAGAGAGTTCAATGAGTTAACACATGTAGCTCATAACAGGAAAAACCATAAAGACAATAGTGATGAAAATTTTGATGATGATGATGATGATGATGAAGATGAATGTTGATTTCTAATATGAGTAATACATTGACTAATTAGGACAGATCACATCTAAGAGAAGCCAGTCTCCATCTATGAAAAAAAGGTTTCACCTTCCCAGTAGAGTCAGATTTCAGCTTAAAATGCAGTCAGGGCCTCTTGCCTCGTGGCTCTAAATTATCTGAGCTCAAGAGAATTGTTCTAAAGAAAAGGTCTGCAGAAAAACATGATTCTGAATGTCTACACAGAACCGCTGTTACCTGTTTAATATTCAATATCCATTGTACTGGGGCATGTAACACAGACAGGCATCGCACGTGCCCTCAGTCTTCACAAGGTAGTTGAAGGAACCAAGAGATAATCAAAATGTAGACACAGGTATGTGGGCACATTCTTTATCTTCTGTGTGAAGAAATACTTCCCAATGGAGCAAAATATATGACCTTAAATCAACTGAAACTCTTGCAATACAGCTATCGGGGCTGCAATACACTTAGGAAGAATGGGAATTCTGAATTACAAAGTTGTCTTTCTCTCTGTAACGTGAATGGGTATTTGAATGGACTTAGAGAAATCATCATGATAGCCTAAAAGTAAGAAGGCTATCAATTGCTTCTTACTCTTCTCCTGCAAGATAGCTCCAATGAGCAGACCCATTGGACCTATTACAGTATCAGAGGAAAACGTTTTGTAGTAAGGGACTTCATAATAGTGTCATTATGATACATTCTGAAATAGTAATTACTAAGATAATGGGGCTATTAGAGGTAATTCTACCTTAGAATGTGGTGATTGCTTGGGCAATCTGAGATTTGGTTGTGTTTCAAATTATTAAATCAGGAAGCATTTTAAATAGAAAATGGACAATTGACCAGAAAAATTTAAACAATTATAAGATTTATCAGTTTATCTTTTCAATGTCCAATGTTATCATCTCTTTGTGGCAAAGTATTTATATTAATATTCAATTGTCCCAAGGAAAGATTCAAATAGGAACCAGGGACTTCTCAATAATTTTGCTTTTCCAAGAAATATTTTTGTCAAGTATTTGTGTGTGTGTGTGTGTGTGTGTGTGTGTGTGTGTGTGTTTATAAACATACATACATGTGTATAGAGTAAAATTTTGTGTGTATATATATGTGTGTATATATGTATATATTTATAAACATACATACATGTGTATATAGTAATATCTAAAAGACAAAAATAATAATTTAGTCAATCCCACATTAGCTTTGATTATCTCTGATTTTTAAAAATCACATTACTCATAAATTATTAGGAGTCTCTGAAGAAGCATATCTTGTTTGAGTAGGATGAGAATAAAGATTATGGCCTGAGAATAACACCTGTGTTGTTGTTTTTTATGTAGGGTTAGTTTCTAATGATTTATATGGTCACTAAAGTCTGAGAAACAGCGCTTTAATCCTCACTTTTTAAAAATTTTAAACCACATGACAGGTAGATTTCTGAGATACATGTATTAAAGTCTCTCAACATGATGTTTGACTCCGTACAATTATTACTTTTTCTTTACATATTTGAAAAGCTCTGTTGTTTTATGTTTATGATTTTTATATCTTTTTGTATTGAACCTTTTTATCTTTATTGAAATATCTCTTTTCGTCCTGTTTAGTATTCTTTGCCATGAATTCTATTTTACCTTATATTAATGTTTCTTTACTTCCTTTCTTCTTATTAGTCTGGTATATATTTTTAAATCCACTTATTGCAATAACTCTCTGTGTCATTTAGTTTTAGATATGTTTGTTGCAAGCGGGCATTCTTTTGTTTCGATTTTTCTTATTTCACATGATGCAGGAGTCTCTACAGTATAAGCAGGGGATTTTATCCATTTGAATGTATTGTGATAGCTCATGTTTGAAATCATAATTTTATTTATATTTTCTTATATTGTTTTCATTTTTTTCCCTAATGTTCAAGAATCTTATTTCTAGCCCTATAAGAGTTCTAGTATCTCCAGCTGGTCTGTCAGTATCTGTAACCTTCCCCAATTAAGATAAGAACATGAACATGTTTTTAACTTTCTTTTACAGCCTTCCTCACTGCCCATTCTTGTTTGATCCAGATTTAGATAATCTGGGATCTCAGTTCAGTATTATTATATTTTTACATTGTACATCAATTACAATTTTCTGTGTTTAACCTGTTACTTTATTCATCACTATTTTTCATAGTCAGTCTTCTTTTCCTTAGAAACATGTCTTGTTTTGCCAGGGTACAGACCTATGCCTCTTGCAAGAAAATGACTAGGTTAGGTAGGCATAAAATTAAAGATACAAAAACAGTGTCCATCTGAATTTTGAGTATATTCTTCCATTATATTCAGGGCTCTTGAAGAAAGAGATCCTATTGAATTGATTCTCTTTCTCTTCCTTTTAAGTCACCTGTCTGCTCTGCCTAGAAGCCCACAGGACAGTGGTTCTCAACCTTCCTAGTGCCGCGACCCTTTAATACAGTTCCTCATGTTGTGGTGGCCCCCAATTTCATTGTTACAAATTGAACATAATTAAAGCATAGTGATTAATCACAAAAACAATATGTAATTATATATGTGTTTTCCGATGGTCTTAGGCAACGCCTGTGAAAGGGTCGTTGGACCCCCAAAGGGGTCGCGACCCACAGGTTGAGAACCGCTGCCATAGGAGTTCATATTTATCCTTGCTTTCTGGAGTATCCGCAGTTTGTGAGTCAAGTCTCTTCAATCACTCTTCCTGGCACTCACAGGATCCTTTTCACTCAAAAACTTAGGACTCCTAAGCTATGATATGGTAATTAAATTATTTGCTTTACATCCATTACCCTTTTTTATATAATCCAATAAAACAGATGCTGGAACTTGTAGAATTATTCCCAAGTCTCTTACCTTTTTTCCTGTGCTTTTGATCTCATTGTTCATGGATGTTGTGTTTGGGAGATTTCTTCCCCTTTCATCTTCCAGTTTATTAATACACTCACTACTCCTTTATATCGCAGATATAAGATCTGACACATAGTATGTAATATTCAGCCAACCCATTGTAGTTTTTTTAAATATTTATGATTTACATTTCTAAGATCTCTGTTATTTGTCAATTCATGTATTTTCAGTGCATGTAGTACTCTAATTTGTATAAAGATAATATTCTCATTTACTATAGCCTTTTGTTAGCTCTTTTATATATGTTTTCTAAGGTAGTCTCTTTATAGTTGAGTGTTGTCTTTCTTTTGTTTTGATAGTATTGAATTTTAGGAGCTGTTCAGTTATCCTTGGTTCTCTGCTCATATTTATGTTTGCAGATGTCTGGTTGCATCCCTGAGGATACAGGTCTGATTATAAGATCGGGTTTAGGGAAGCTGCTGCCAGTCAGTCGGCCAGGACCCTGCCTTCCAGGTAGCACTAGCCACCTGGGGCCTCTCATTTTCAGCTATACTCTCTACTTTATCCTGAGGGCAACCGTGCTTATGTTGAACCCCTCAGGCACTGCAGAGGTAGTGCCCCAGTTGACCAGCCTGGGAATTTCCTGCCCCTATTAACTCAGCAAGCCCAGCACCATTCTCATCTCTCCAGCTGTAGCTTTGGGGCTGTGATTTATCCTGCCTTATTTCTCTTTCAATCTGATCACTTTTGCTTCACATCTCTCAGAGATCTCTCAAATTAATTTTTCTGCTGATGGTGGTCTTTTCTCTCTTTTTGGTGATGTTTGTGACGGGTTAAAAAATATTGTTTCCATTGTTTCCCAGGGTTTGAAGCAAAAGAAATGGTAGATAAATGTGACAAGTTTACTATCAATAACCAGTTTCCTACCCACTCCTGACACACCTCACCAAATTATTTTAAAGGGCATATGTTCTAATTTTGTAAATAGAATGATTTAAAATTCTATTTTTTTAATATTAAGGTTAGCAAGCTTTAATTTTTTCTCAAAATTATTTATTTAGAGATAGCGTATGTATCCCACCCCCAGCACCCAGTGGGAAAGAGGACACCCCAATTTCTCCAATAATAGTCTCAGTTCTAAGATTCAACAATCCACTTCTCTTCTTTTTTTAACTCTATTGTTTAAAGTAATGGGGGGGAGGGGAGGGAGAGATCATTTAAAATTCTTTCTCAACCATTTATTACTCATTTTATAAGGACTTCTCTGCTTATTCTGTTATTAGATACATCATCAAATTTAATATTAGCACCCATAAGGAAACCACAGAATATGTTACAGGATAAAATTATTTAATTATACCTAAAAAATAACATTAGGAAATGACAAATATTTAAGATGCTTTAAAACTACTCTGTTGTGCTTGCTTTGGCAGCACATATACTAACATTGGAATGATACAGAGAAGATTAGCGAGGCCCCTGTGTAAGGATGACATGCAAATTCGTGAAGTATTCCATATTTAAAAAAAAAAAAAAACTACTCTGTTACCATTTATTCCCTAACCATCCTCATTGTTTTCTTACCACAAATATTTTAAAACCTAGAGCGTTAGTCACTGATTGTTACTTAATTGGTTTTTCTGACCTATTTCTTAGCTTTGATCTCAGAAAATGAGGAACTGTTTCATATCCATCATACTTAGGGAAATTGTTATGCAAAGATATATATCTTTCTAAGTGACTTTCTTCTAATTTCTTCATACCGGAATCATATAATTTTCCAAGACTAGTATTCTTTCAAAAATATGATAGATCATAAATGTATGATTGCTCCGAAGGTATTAAACAAGTCTGGCATTTAGCTATTGTAAATATTTTCACAGAAAGAAAATGTGAATATTCTGAAAGATGAGACACAGAGATTAATTTGCATGAAACACACTCACACATTCACAGGTTAGGACACCACCTGGAAAGCAAATGAAGAGATAAATTATTCAATATTACTTGCCCATTACAGACTCATCAATCCCCAACATATGGTTTTAAGTGTAATTTGTAATGCGAAATGAGGGATCTCTCTGTGATATATTCAGGAAATATTTATTAGGTGCCTGTTATGAACCAAGTGCTTCAGATACTTTATCTCACCAGGAACTTAAAGATAAAATGCTTTTGCCATGTAAGAACTTACATATATGCAAGATAACAATAATTATTATTTCTTAAACAGTCGTGTGGCAGGTGATATATCTATATCACATAGAATTCTCACATAAATATAATATGAATATTATTAACCTCAAAAGGACATTAAAATTCAGAAAGACTATGTAACCTGCCAAGGCCACACAGTCAGAATGCTGCACTACGTCTGTCTAACTCCAGAACTCGTGTTCTTGCTACTGAACAGCACTTCTTTCGCATTCTGCTCTTCTAATAACAAGACAGACGACAAACTGGTACGTCTCTTAGTTTCCAGGGTCTCTGTTTCTTTCATGTGCATAGTATGGACGTTGGTTTGGGTAGTTCCTCGAGTCCTTTCCAGCTCTCAGGTTTTGGACATTTATCACGTTAACTGTTGTTTTACCAACACATGGCACTGTTGTACAGTTATGATTTATACTTGTTGATTTTCTGTAGTTATTTACCTGGAGCTATTGTATGAACTGTGGTCTACTCCCTGCAGAATAGGGATTCTTTTCAACTTGCAAGAAATAGATACTCTTCAAAGACAGACTGAAGGCTTACTTTGCCATCCTAAGAAGGATGTTGATTAAAACCCTTGAGGAAAATTTAATTCTAAAAGAGCCCACAATATGAGAGATTTGGGGGTATTTTTCCTTCCTATTAATGCAGAATCTGTCATGGGGCCCTCAGGGTGACAAGTGCATAGTAGTACTATTCAAAACATCTTCAGAGAATATACATTTACACCTAAAGGATCAGAGAGCAAGTGAGAACCAGCAGGAGAAAATTCTTCATTCTACAAAACCAAGTGACAAAATCACCTGAGGGCAAATGGCACAGAGGGTACCAGGGCCGCAGTCACACTTCCCATTGATCTCGTCCCAGTAATTCTCAAGTTGATTTCTGATTAAGAGGATTAAAGAGTTATAACTGACTTTTTTTAGTTTCTATAATACTCTTGCTTCAAAATAATCATGATGCATAAAATTCACTTTTAAGGTTTATCTGCATGTAAAGATTTCACATAAAAATGAAAATTTTCCATATTTTAACTCCATTTTAAGTATGCGATGCTACATGCCAGACTTTTCTGATCATTCCAGAAATAAGGTAGACAGAAAAATAGATTGGCTAAGATGTGGTCATATGGGACACCTTTGAATTTTGCTTGGCATAAAAACACACACACACACACACACACAAAAAAAACACACACACACACAAAACTACTGACTGGTGGACTGAAGGCAGCTGGCCGTAAAAGTAAACTCTTAACTGGAGTTTCACGGACACAGGCTGTTTAAAGAAATAAAAGTCATATTGGTATGTGAAGAAAAGGGAAAGGAAAGAAGAAACATACATATAAGAACAGATAAGAGGCGAGTCTTCTCCACAGAGGGTGGTGGTGAGGATCATGCCACAAAGTCTCCCAGTGTTCTTTGGGAAATATCTCAAGTACTACTTGATGTTTTTGTGCGAGTTTAGTAATGATCTCACACCGTCCAAAGATAAGAGACAAGTGATTTCATCTTCCCACTTCCCACTCAGGTTCATAGATTAAAGTAATAAATATTTAATGGAAGATAAATCAACACTTTAGCGTTCTGTGTGTTATCTTTTGCCTCTTTTCTGGAACTGGTGACAAGCAAGGCTATCCTGTGAGCATTAACCTGTATAAAAATGTAGACACTGAAACATGGAATTGGCATTACTGAGATTTTAGAAACTGTGCAAGTTTCCATTGAATTAATACAGTGGGTAGAATTATATTAGCAATAATAAGACTTGGTTTTGTTTCCAGCTCTAAACTTTGCTAAAGCTATTTTAACCTATATAAAAGTTAGTTTCTTTTCAATAAAATGAGGGTTAAAATAATATAATACCTGCCCTACTTATACCTCACAAATATGCTCTGAAGATAGAATAGTATCTATAAATAAGTGAATTTGCATACTCTAAAACTCCATGCAAATCTAAAGAGTTATTATCTAAATATGTGTATAATACTAATGCTTGCTCTCCTGACTTGAAATGATTTTTTTTTTCTCCTAAAGTTTTCAATAAAAGAACTGAAAATAGCCTATTTGGCCTCAGCTGGGTAAAGTTGTGTGCTCACAGAGAAACAGGGCAATAAAGACCACATGGAAACTTGGCATTGGACCCACCTACTCAGGCACATGTGTGGAGAGCCAATTAGCATGCATTATTGTAATTGTTTACTTAACCATCTGTCTCCCCTGCTAGAACAGAGATAATGTCTGTTTTGGGAACTATTGCATCACTGGCACTAAGCATAGGATCTGGCGTAGAGTAAGCCCTTCATAAAAATGAATAAACAAATGAAAGAAATGGATGGATGGGTGAGTGCATGGAAGGATGAATGGATGGCAATTGTTTCCCAGAGCAATTATGGTCAGGAGAAAAGTCAAAACCCAGTCCAAGCCCATGGCTATGATAGGAAATCCTAAAGGAGACGACACGGTTAGCAGTCACTACTGTGTCCCCCACTAGGCAATCCACATCTGGAGAGCCTGTCCTTGGGTCACATGCTGACGACAGAGACTGTCAGAAGCAAGGCAAGGGCTCAGACAGATTGGAGGTTATCAGAAATGAGACTAAGGCAGATACCCCAGCTCCCAGAAGGGACTGTAATGCTTATCAGTTTACCAGAAAAGGTATTCCAAAGGGGACAGGGACAAAATCCCAGAGCCCGGAGGGAAATCATGTTTGGGCCAATCAAGAGCATAATTTTGAGAACAGGAGCATCATTCCAGGAGCACAGAGGCCCTAGACATGATCATCAGCATAAGTAGCATGGTAAACAGAAGGGGAAGACCTGCAGCCATTCAGCCAGATTGACTTGGACATTGGGTAGGATGAAGTTGGCATGAGAACAGAATCGGCAAGTGTGGCTGCACAGAGCCAAATATAGCCCCGTCGGTGGCTGACATCTACATGGCCTGCTCATCTACCCCACATGCGTCAGGCTTTTCACACTGATCGGAGATGAAAGGTTATATATGGACTAATGGCTTGCAAAGGATAGAAACAGTTTTTAAAACTATATACAAGTAGTTTCCAGATTATAAAGCAAGACTTATACTAAAAAAAGGTGTTATGATACAAACAGTGACAAATGTTGGCAATTCTTTTACAGTCCTAAGGCAGCTTTTTACTCCTGCTTTTGCCTTGGCAACTAATATTCAGACTTTCCATAATTGTTGGCACTTACAGTCAAAATTGTCTCCACCCCTCCTCTAGTTTGGTGCAGGATGGACCCAGCACAGACCACAAGTTTATCAGGCCACGGTTTCCGGTTTGTCAGTCTACCCACGCTCTAGGATTTGTTTGAATGTTGAGGGAAGAAAAGAATAAAATGATCAAAATCTACTTTAGATTATTATGCTGTGTGGGTGAGTGGGCACTGCTTGCCTAACAGGACTCCTCGAGATAAATGCTACTTGTGACCAAATAAAGATTTGGAAAACTGTATGCTTTGTGCTTTGTCATGCTGTGAAAAACCCCAAGTACTTTGGAATCAATATGGTACAAGTAAGTATAAAAGGCAGAGTTTGAATTTCATTACTTTAAAATGTCAAGCATGGGCTCTGATGGTTTAGTTAGTATTTCCTCCTGAAGTTGAGCAGTTTTATTTCTTCAAAAACTAACACATTTCTTGAAAATGGCTGATTAAGAGTTTTTATATAGTCTCTGGTACGATAGAATTCACAATTTTTTATGTTTTACTTATTTTTTTAATATCTATTCAAGTGAACATGGACTAGTTGGGATGGATAGTCTCCTAATTCAAATGAAAGTTGTTGTTTCTCATTAAACCTTATCAACCTAAGGGGAGAAGCCATTTTGTGGATGATGAGCACATGGAAGGACCAGATAGCAACTCAGTTATTGATTTGGATGAAAATGGGTTGACCAGGGTTTCTTTCTCAGGGTAGAGTACGTCTTATGATTCTCATACAAATGGACTAAAAGTAAAAACATTGACATCCACCCCTAGCTATTGATACCTAAGTGGGCTTGGTTTCTAGAATATATATATATATATATTCTTTTGAAGTTATGTTTGGTACTTAAATAGTCATCATTTCATAAATAAGTGCCGGGAGCCAGTCCATCCTTGCTGTTTCAAGGGACCTGGCGTGTATGGCATACTGTTCTTTACATGTTTGCTCACCTTCTTGGCGCTATGTGTTTTAACCAAGGTCACCTCTCCGAGAAAGGTTGTTTCCCCAGGTAGGGATTTTCCCCTGAAGTTAGGGAGGGAATAAAACCTCTTAACTAAGTGCCAGGCGGGTAATTAATCACTTTAACTA